CCTATTGTCATTTTTATTCATAAATATTGTCTTCTCTACCGATTAAATCGGAGAAATTTTCATATATATATATATATATATTTGGTTGGATAGATGTGAGTTTGTGACCCTGGGTTTCACGCTTTAGCGATCGTCAGACAAACTGATTAATGTTTTAAAAAATTTGGGTTTATGTAGATTGCGTGTATTGGTGTTATTGTGGAAGTGGTGGGGGCACTTTCTAATAAGTACCGCGCATATAATATATAAATAATTATACATATATATATTTATTTATATTTATATTCACTTTTCACACATATATATATATATATATATATATATATATGCGCATGTAACATCACACGTACGCATTGTGTGATACAGAATTATGAATTATGTCTTCATCTCTACTATAGATTATTATCGGGTTTTCTATCTGCTTTATTTTATGATCTGCCCGTAAGTTTTAAGCTGAAACCTGAAGAGAATACAAATCAACAGATCATGTTTGTTGGCACAATTGGTTGGATATATAGCTGTGACTTTCACGGCGTCCTTTTCCTTAATTCTGCGATACCGTATGATTGTGTTTTGCAATTTAAACTTTCATTAAAATGTATATGTCGATTCACAGATAAAAATTATACAGAAAATATTTTAATCGCGTGAAATAGAATGCATGAAAACGAGAATTATGTCAAAAGTTTAAAATTCAGTATAGGCTGTTATTATTATTATTATTATTTATTTATTTATTTATTTATTTATTTATTTTCTTTGATTTCTGGCGTTTACACATTTCTTTCCGGGTCCCGCCCAGGGACCTAAGGTTAGAAATGGCATCATGACACTTTCCACCGACAAAAAAAAATTACATAGATAAAGCCCTTCGTAAAGTGTGGGCTGTACTTGTCAGAACAATTTTTTGTATCTCTTTGAGGCATGGACTTCCAGGAATCCCTTCAATTAGTCTACTGCAATCTTTTCCAACCAATCCTAGGGCTTCAACTACTACGGGGATCGTTGATGTTCCCATGTGCCACATTTTTGAGATTTCTATTTCAAGGTCTTATTATTATTATTATTATTATTATTATTATTATTTCGCATTTCTGTTGTCTACACCTTTCTTTCCGGGTCCCATCCTGAGACCGAATGTCAGAAAAGGCTTCATGACATTTTCACTGACCATTATTATAAAAAATATAACAAAGACCAAACTTTTTACATAGATAAAGCTCTGTGTAAGACTGTACTTTTGAGAAGAGTTTTTTTTTTTTAAATATTTAATGAGCAACCAGGAATTGATTCAGTGAATCTATCGTAACATTTTCGAGTCAATCCCAAGACTCCAACTACAACTGGAATTATTGATGTCCTCATGTGCCACATTATTGAGATTTCCACTTCATCATCCTTCTATTCTGAAGATCTTCAAAGATATGTTACAATCTGCAGAGTCTGCTTATGTCAATGACAATGCACATTCTGTTTTTATGATATTAATCACGATGTCTCGGCGATTAGCTTTGATTATTCAGTCTATTTTGCGAAATTCCATAAAATTGGTACGGATCCTATTTCTGTAATCAGGTCTGAATGATGTCCATTCCAGTTTCTTGTAGTTTGCATAAAAGTTGCAGATGTTCCAGTGAAGATTTTGGCCCACATTACCGTGCCATGTTTTATATTTAGTGGATGCTAACACTGTGCAACCAGATACATGACGGCCGCTTGTTTCTAAATATTTACCACTGAATCTGTATTTGGGATCAACACAATTTTTCAGTATTTGGGAATGTCTAGTTAGCATGTATTACTCCCCTGCAGCAGGAAGAAAACCTTTGATTTCAGATTATTATTATTATTATTATTATTATTATTTTGTTCATTTTTTTCTATTTTTTTAAGTAATTCTCCTTCTTTTGCCCACTTTTTAATTCCAATGACAGGTTTTCTTCTCTTTGTTATTGATGACTGAATATTTTCTTTTGGCAAAGAATGGCTTCCATTTCAAAGACGCATAAGATTTTCCATTTCTTAGTAAAGCTTCTGCGTTCTAGAGTACAGTATCAAACAGCAAACATTTGGATGATTTCCGATCTTTAATAAAAAAAATGAAATATTCCTGACTGTTTAAAAGCGTTAGAGGATTTTTCTCTCAGTCCCGACAATAGACATTTACAGTTTTTCTGAACTTTAAAGCCTATTTTAACCTTAATATACAGTAGAATCCCTGACAAACAGACAAAGAAGGCCTTCCGGATATGAGGAATAGGTTACAAAGTCCTGATATGAGGGATTCCAGATATGAGGGATTCCGGATATGAGGGATTGGTTACAATGTCCGGATATGAGAGATTCCGGATATGAGGAATTGGTTACAATGTCCGGATATGAGGGATTTCGGATATGAAGAATTGGTTACAACGTCTGAATATGAGGGTTTCCGGATATGAAGAATTGGTTACAACGTCCGATTATGAGAGATTCCGGATATGAGGAATTGGTTACAACGTCCGAATGTGAGGGATTCCGGATATGAAGAATTGGTTACAACGTCCGGATATGAGGAGTTATATTTAGATTAAAATAAAATAACTGAAATCAGGTTTAACATTTATTTTCACTGTTTTATAGTAAACAAAATAAGCTAATGGTGAGTGAAATATAACGGAATTGATTTTAAGGAAAAAGAAATAAATTATGTAATGTTAATGAGAATTCATTAAATTGATTCTGCCACGTATGCAAAACAAATGTAACGGGATTTTTTTTAAATAGTTGCTGTATGATGATTCTTTCTCTTCTAATGTCATTCTCAACTTTTTCCGCATTTCCTTTTGCTTTTGTTCTTGAATTTTTTTAAATGAAAGCCACATTTTAACTCTGCGTGCGTTATTGCAATCGTCATAGCTGAATACAGGCTTTCTTTCCATAAAACTGACACACTTCTTAATAGCTTTTTCAATCTCAGTCCAGGTTTCATCACAATCACGCATCTCGTCGCTATCTTGTTGCAGATGTATTTCATTGTCATCCTTTCCTCTTATTCCCATCATCTTTCGCACAAATACAAGCCATTAGGGTGAAATAAGCATAAGCAATTATCCAAAGTAAATTTCCTGAAAAACAAATTTTAAACCAGTTACATATCACCCAAATAGTTCAAATATACACATCAAAATCATGTCCGGATATGCGGAATTCCGGATACTAGGAACTCCGCATATAAGGGATTCCGGATATTAGGGATTCTACTATAGTGCTAATGCACTTTTTTTGAGATTATATTAATATCAGTTCTGTTTTTGATGAATTCTCTGGACAACTAAGTTTACATCATTTCGTGAAAGTTTTCTTTCATTTACTTTTTTAAAATTTACATATGATTTTTTTTGGTTTGTTTTCTATTACAATGAAATCTCAAGACAAGTAACTCATTGCACTTTCTTCATCTTCTGTTTTCATTTGAATTGGTGTGGAGTAATTATATTGAATCAACTGATTGGTCTGCTGACACACAGTTTGTCTCCTCAGAATCCATCTTACAAATTTATAAATCTACCATTCCTCCGTGTATTAAATATTACTGCTATGTTTGGTCTGGTGATCCTAGTATATATCTCGAGTGTTTCGACAAACACTGTGCCATGTGTCCTTAAGTGTGGATAAAGACGTTAGTTTGATCCAGTGACAGGACCCAAAGCGTTGAGAGTTCAATACCAGGTTAAAGCAGTGGGGAACCTGGAGAGCTGAATGAACAGGAGATAACTGATAACTGACATCCATTAGACATGGCATGTGGAACTAGAACAGTCTACCCCAGCGAGCGAAATAAAAGGTTCGACATTCCAACCACCTGAAGAAGGCCGTAGCGTACAACGGCCTGAGCGTACAACGGCCGGAGCGTACAACGGCCGAAACGTTGTGATAAATATAGCGAATAAGGTAAATAGTGTACATAATACCTCATCACAGAAATATAGGCAGATACATGTTCAGTTATGTAATCGGTCCTGACCTGGCATCTCGACTTCAGCCACTTTTCCACCACAGTTTGTCTCTTCTACTAAGATTTGCATGACAGTTGTTCGAATGAATTTTCGCCTTTGGTACCTCGACCGCATAAATTTAATAGTACTACCATATTGGTATTTAGGTCTCATCCTTTTAATATTGAAATAGCTATATCTTACCGTATGTTGTATTCTAATCTTTTTTTCTTCCCTGCCATCGACAATATTTAAAAATTTAAATGCAATGTCAATCGCTATCTTCTGTCTCTCGTAAAACCATTCTTTTATTATCCTTTCTCCTCACGAATCATTTCATTCGCTTTGACTTCCAGTAACCCTTTGCATCTTAGTGGCATTATTGCTTGACTTGGCGTGAAATGGTTAAAAAAACTAATTCTCTTCGCATTTAGCAATTGCAAACATTCTAGGATACGATCAGATAAGTCTTTGTATTTTACTCCAGAAATAGAAAGAATATCTTTCTGCATTAATCGAACACCTTTTTTTTTCTCTTTTCTAAACATATACGCATCGAAAACATGGAATAGCGTAAATGAATCAAATGAAGCTTCCTGTAAGGGTAATAGGAAAAGCAAAATGCTTAATGAGCAGGCACTTAATACCATTATCGCGTTATCACGTGTTACCTGGCTCAACCGATTTCACCATGCATATAAAGCTTGTCTTGCTAGATAAATTACGACTGAGTAGTGAGTTCGATCCTCACTGGGTGATTCGGTCCTGTGCCACATCTAAGCTACTCTTAGTAACTCGCTATATCGTCGTTATTCGACATATGAAGTTACCAAGCGTATATTCTATTTATAAACCAGTCTGTTAAGGTTTATCGTTGGCGCAAGTTTTTGGCTGAAAAAAAAAAAAAAGAAATCGTGACTCTCACCGAAATTTGTGAGTGTGTAGAACTTTGAAGAAAATTAATGGATGACTATGCCTCGAGAGGTCTGAAATTGAGAACAGAAGGGAAACACGGAACGTTGCATGAAGGAGAGTCACGTGACTGTCAGTTGCCGTGGACGACAAATTGCCCCGCAGCAAAGCGCGGGAAATAAAACAACAACTGGTGCCACTGTTTTGGCTGCAAATATGCGTAGCATCACAACCTCTCGTTTGCATTGGGGGTGGGGGTGAGGGGGGGATTAGCCAAGTTAGACGTATGTACAGGCGAATGTAGACAATGGCGGAATTAGATTTTTCTACATTCGTTAGCCTCCATGTCTTCCCTTACATTTGTGGTTGATTCTTCTGAAGTTTCCAGATATTTTTCTTTCTCTCTCTCCCTCCCTATCTTTCTCTCCTTGCCACCATTATTCTTTCTCTCTCTTCCTCGCTCTTTCTCTCTCTCTTCGTCCCTCTTTCCTTGTCTCTTACGTCTCTCTTCTATACACCCCTCCCTCACTTTCCTTTCTTCTCTCCGCTCACTCCCCCTCCCGCTCTCACCCCTCCCTCTCTCCTCTTTCTCCCCCTCCTGATCTCTCCCTCCCTCTCTCTCCCCTTTCCCCTCCCTCTCTGTCCCTCTTTCTCTCCCCTCCCTCCTCCCTTTCTCTGCAGTTCAGTATATAAACCGATGTACCAATTAAAAAACCTAATAACGCGTAGAGACTCTCTTCAACTGAATAACAGGCTTTGCGTCATGACATGAAATATATGGTTTGTTGGTTTCTTTTTATCGATATATTTATACAGGCACATTTCAGGGTTTTTAATAACTAAGTTTCGGCTCTTGGATTTGGTCTTTGGGAGATTAATCAGGTGGATAAACATTTTTTTCTATTTGTCACGTGGTACGTTTCTGTACTACGCAGATTCAGATTCAGTAAAACCTTTTTTTTTTTTTTAAATCACGGACGCTGACGTTATGTCTTCTGTCGGTCTTTGTATATATTGGCCACACATTGAATATCGAAAATTATTAAATAACTTGCATATTAAGTCGAAACAAACGTTCTTAACGCTTTTTAAGTGAATATTTTAAGTGAATTTTTTAAGTGAATTTTTTAAGTGAATTTCAGAGAAAACGTTCATGGATTTATATATGTTTATGTAATCGTATATGAGCTATTGTTTTTTTTATTTTCAATTTCATCATTGACGACTTCATTGGTGTCTGAACCGAGTGGAACCCTTACAAAGATGTTGTAAGGAAATTACTAAAATATAGCCAATATCGTTTGACTGTTTATAAGATTGTGACTAATAATATAGGTGGAAGTTTTCTGTAAGCCATTATTATTATGATAGCTGTTTCGACTTAAAGGCAAACTGAAAAGTAGTTTGATTTCTCATGTTCAACTAATTTGTAATTAACTCTTATCGGTTTTCCTATCCTTTGCTAACTCACAAAACTTTCTGCAGGTCTTTTAAGCTCATCAATGCATTTATATTCAACGATGGAAGTTTATTGATCGTTCTTTTCATGTTGCTATTCATTGTGTATACTGTGGTTGGTCGTCAAATGTCTATGGATACATGAATTCAAAAGTTATTTTGGTGTTATCTAACTAGCCCCGACATTAATATCAATATTTTTTTTAATTTTGATTCTTGGTGACAATATAGATCAATGTTATAGCTATCAACATCCCGAACCAATAATTCCTGCTTTTTTTAACTAGTCTTTTAATATTAGACATCCTTCCGGTAAAATCTCTATATGTAATTAGAAAGGCATTTACAAAGTTTCAAATAAGGAGTTCCAAATTTTAACGGTTGTCAACCGGAACAGTCATTGCTTTCTCCGCTAGATTAACAAATACACCCTTGTGCAAATTAATTGAAACAACTACTTTAGTTTCCTTTCTTTCACCTTACGGTCAGTTTTAGACACATTGGAACGACAGGGTATAATCGATTTCTATTTTTTCATCAGATTAGATCATTTGCAGCGGTGTCCAGTAATATGAATCTATTTTCGTGGTGTATGATGAAATTTGGCCTGGAAAAATATTGCGTCATCCATGATTTTCATTTTACCCAGGCACTATTGTCTCAACTGTCCATTAGTTGTCCTACGGCCATTATCTGCGATGGACGTTACTCCAAGTAAGCGTTAGTACTCTGTATGAACACAATTGCAAGCTTTACCAGTGAGTAAATCAAAGTACTAACGACCGTCTCAGAAACTCTCCTGAATTAAATCAGATCGAGAATCTGTGATTAATCTGCAAGGAACAACTTTGTGGAATGGACATACGAATACTAATATGTGCACTGGTCATGTTTCATTGGAAAAATACGAAAAATTGAATAATAACGTAATTATTCGTTTTGTTTCAGTTAATTTGCACAAGGGTGTAAGTATATCCCGTAAATATGATATATATTTTCCGATGGTCTTTGTTAAACTAACTTAAATATTAACAGGGTTTAAACAAACCTACATTCTTTCTCATATCTGACTAAGATATTGGTGAGACATAGACAACTTTTCATTCTTGTCTATTTGCACTGGTCCTGAAAAAATAGACACAATAAATTCCTATTTGATGATGTAACACGTTCGTTCGGTTTAAGTAAGATATTTTTTTAAAATTTGAAACAAACTTTATTAAACAATCGCTGCCTTACATTTTAGCCTTTGGCATTTTTCATGCTGTCTTGATGGGCGTGTCATTATTGCACCCACCAATCCCAATTATACTCTGAATGTTTCCCAGTAAAATCGATTCGTTCCACCAAGACGACGCAAACTTCAGCATGTGTGGGTGATATGAGATTATTTCCACTTCGTCGGATTACCAATTTACTTTATTTAACCCCAGCGTTTGTCCCTATTCAAAATTCGACAGCCATATTCAAACGCTACTGAATGTCTGCGACATGTTCCAGATCTCAATAAACTCATTGCAACCACACCTGAAAAGCCGCTTAGATAAGACGTTCCTTGATACGTGCCTACATAAATATACCGGTGCCTAACACTAGCATGTCGTAGACTCTATGACAAATCTTGAAGCAGACATTATAATAGCGAAAGAACCAATATACTTTATTCGGTAGCTGTCTTTATATTTTTGACACTTCAATTTTTATTCCATATTTTTGTTTGTTAATACATTTCATATATATATATATATATATATATATATATATATATATATATGTACATTTCACTGAATACGACAGACAAGGTGCTTTTATTTAGTTTTTATACAATTTCTCATGTGATCTATTTTTTTTTTCTTTTCGGATGATGAATTATATAAAAACTGTCCGAATGTTCTTTTTATCCGAGCGCTTTCGGATATACATTTAACCATTTTCAAGGATTAAATATTTTAACTGTTAAATAAGAAATAGTTTGTTGTATGTATGTTTTATAAATTTTTTTCATTTTTCAAAATACGGTCAAGGTACTGTGTCCATGTTCAAAGCTAATATTATCAAGTGTTGGTTTTTTGTTTATATTAATAAGGATTCGATTATTTTAGCCTTTTGTGCGTGTAGATAATGCTATTATATTAGTGTTGTTGACAAGTATGTTCCGAATAGTCTCCGGTAGGTCTCCATGAGATCTAATTGAGCTATGGTCAAGAAGGTGTAGAGTAAGTCTGCGTGTCAAACATGTAGTGTGGCCTATATAATTATTTACGAATTTTGAGTGATCAGGAATACAATTTCTTAATGGGGATTTAAATTTGTAAATAATATTTGCCCTATTTAATTTTGTTCTAGGAGGGGAATTATTATTTTTAACTATAAGTTTAGAGTTTTTAAATTTTTTGTAATAAATACTCTAATTTTCTTGCTATTGTCAACTGGTATTATGCATTTTTTTTACAATTTATTATTTTTAAGAAAAATTATTATTAGATCGTATGAGAAATTGTATAAAAAACTAAATAAAAATATCTTGTCTGTCGTATTCAATGAAATGTCCATGAAAGAAGGATCGCTTCCTAAATACATAATATATATATATATATATATATATATATATATATATATATATCAGGCAAACACGTGATTTTAAATCGTTAAATAGACTTTTGCGAAAATGTTTTCTCATACACCGTATTTTATTATAATAGTAATATTATATGTTTCCTTATAAAAAAAAACATTTGGTATTCTTTGACCAATCAGCAAGTGCTACTTTCGATAGAAATTTATAAAATCTTTTTTTTTTATTAATCCAGTAACTATCATCACTCTTTCCAATATTAATGAGGGCTTACATACTAAGGTTTTGTTTGAAGCGGCCTGGAACCTAGATTACATCATTATCTTTGAATTTCATATGCTAACCATTTGAATTCTTGCTCTTGTTGAAGGAGCTGAATTGATGCGACTTCTCTTATTTGGTCCAATAATTTGTCGGTGATTCTGTAGCGCCATCCACTAGGTTCGGAAAAGGTTTGTTGTCGCTAAGAAGTACATGCTTCATTCGGTGGAATGTACTTTCATCAGAGAAAGAGGGCTACAGCTGACAGCTTCGATATGTTCTAAAAGAATTCTTGCACCTGCTTTCTGAAGAGGAGATATGTAAAACATAACCCGAGTTTTTAGGTTAATTTTTAGGGTTCCTCTTTCTTACAACTCTTAATATTAGGGAAAACCACATCCAACCTACGATATCTTCTATTCTATTATCTCCTATACTAAATATGTTACTTATAAAAATTCAGGTATAGGTAATATATATCAGTGAAAGGAAAATATGAATGAAAAACAAAAGGAAAAACTTATATTAGCCGACATGTTTCATCCTTTGATTCACTTTATCAAGGTAAATGTTTTTAATGAATCTATAAACAGAAGTAAAAATAGTTTATCAGAATTTTTCAATTTAAGAACAACCATAAAAAAGCTTAATTATGACGTTCCTTTTTATATGCCTACATAGATATATATCCATTCAATAACACTGGCATGTCATAGACTCTATGATATATCTTTTAGCAGACATAAAAAGTGAATGAGCCGATACGCTTCATAATTAGCTGTCTTTAGATTTTTGACACTTCAATAGGCAATCTGAAAGTCAAGGTATAATATCAAGGATTTAAAATGATGTAATTTAAGGACTAATAAACAAAAGTGAGTAAATTTTGTTATGGTTGAATTATTCATGAATTTGTTATAATTAATCCATACACCAAGATATTTGTTAAGGGGTCCACCCTTTTTTATACAAGTGGACTCGCCCGTTGTGTACTTGTACTGCTGCCGGTGAATACTCGGGAGTGATACAGTGAGAGAGTGAGAGTGTGAGGTAACCGCTTTGTAGGAGTCACAGTTGCGAGCACGTAGACTCAGAAGGAAGTCCTACTTCGATACTGAATTTCCCAGACTGTATATATATTATTATTGCTACTATCCGCATTTCTGGATCTACTAACCGTATTAAAATTGTATTGTTACGTCAATACATTTATTTACTATATTTCATTCCTGCATTTGTCATTCATTTGAGACCGGATTTCATCCCGGAATCCACAACAGTATTTAAAGTGTTTAGTATTAACCAATCCAACGTCCTAAATTTCTTCTTTGGATTCAGATATCTCATCCCAATTCCAGATCATAGTTTTTGAAATGTGTCATATTTCTTGG